TAATAAGGTTATTTGGTGATGGTGCTCGAAGTAGCAAAGAAAAGGATAACCCATAAACGGTTGAATGATTCTTTTCTCACAACCCTAACGCTGTCCACATTTGGTAAATGGAAATATTAGAGGAGTAAGTGGCATCTACTGTTCGTTAGTGAGCAACTAAGTTCACATTCAATTCAGGTTCAAGATTGCCTTCTAATTGAGCTGGTCCTTGCGGATGATCATTTTGCAAACAGACTGTATGTGATCACCGATTAAATTCAGTAAATTATTGTTGCTGGACAAAAGCAAGAAGCAGCAAGCAGGCTTTGCTTCCCTGGGAACTGTCCACAAATGTTTGTCGAATGTAATCCAGTAATCGCCATGGCAATAGCCAGGAAATCAACTTTTCGAACTGGCATTTGTCAAATCATAATTCTATGATTTTTTAAGATAATTCTACTTAAATTATATATACATACGACTTCTNTTGGTACTGAAGAGCCCTAAGGCAAGTGTCTTACGGCGAAACATCGATATCTACTAGTGAGGATAACAGTGTTCCATATAAGTGCAATTTGTTACCATTCATTTGAAGTAGAACTCCTATGAATGATATCTGATTTTATTGCATAACGTATGTTTGGAATACAAACTGAGTAGAGAAAATTATCTTCTGTATAATTCAGTGTTCATATAAAAGTATTTGTTTCAAAAGAATTTTTTTCTTTCGTGTAATTCAATGTTTATATGAAAGTAACTGTTTCAGGAGGGCTTTCTTCCAGTTTGTGTCTGAAAGTTGCTTCTACAACATCCATGTATAGAGTTACTTATTTTCAAATTGATTATTTCCTTCCTTTCATTGGAAAATTCCCACATTTTTTTGTATCAAGATGGAGTAGTAGAAAGCCAAAAACTTTCTCGCCTTATTTTGTTTTTGCTTTTTGAAAATCGCTTAGCGTTCGTGGATTGTCACTGATTGTGGATTGTCACTGAAATTTTATGAAAGAATATTCTCTCCCAGTGATCGAACACTCTAGAGCGAGGATACAAAGGTAGAAATGGAAATAGAAGATGTCGTTTAAACCTAGCTATACAAAATTTCAGTAAAAAAGCCACATTACTGAATAGACTAGATGAACAGGAGAACAACACCTACAAAGTAATTCAGTTTTCTATTACTCAATGTTTTCACAAAATTGCATGAAAAAATATGTAGTGAAATGTAATATAACTTAAAAAACTGTCCATTTTGGTACAAATTAGGTTTAGTTCTTTCCAATGATCACTTACCCCACGGTGTGGGGAGTGGTCATTGGTGGATAATGCTGGCACGCCCTCCCGAATGTATCGGGGCTTCGGGGGATAGGGCCTGACCAGCGCACACTACGGTGAAAAAAAATACTAATGTTCAAAGATGCCTGCAATTCTTCTCTGATTCTATCGTTACAAAAAAGTATAGCCATGGTTTTTTTGGAATGATTTTCAATAAATGTTCATTTGATATATCAAAAAGTTTTTGCAGATCATAGTTGAGGAAATATTCTTCTGCTGCAGTATCTGATGGGTTAAAGGAAAAGTATAGCTGCGTGTTGTCTGCGTATTGATGATACTTGCAACGAGTTAATGACTTTACGAACTGTGCAGTATAAATTGCATGAAATAATGGACCCAAAATACTTCCTTGGTGTACACCAGTGGTGACAGTAATCGCCGTCAATGTCTCATTTTTATACACTACTCGCTGTAATCTGTTTGTTAGGAATGATTTTATCAAATCGCAAGCTCGCACAGAAGAGCAGATATGATTTAGAATTGCCAAAATAATTCAATGATTCAACATATCGAACGCTTTTCTGTAGTCCAGAAGTACCAGGATCGTTGCCTTACTTTCGTCCCTTCTCCTCAGAACATCATCTGACACATCAGTCAGTTGATGTTCTGACTGATTGAAGATTCAGTGCCTCTGTTTCAAAATATCACTGCGACATATAATAAATAGATTCCTTGTGAAAAAATGAAATGAAAACTTGATCACAAGGTCTTGTTGTGGACAATAGTAAGAATACATGAGAATTGTATGCAACTTTGATTGCCATTTATGTACCTATCAAAATATCGATGATATGGAGAACACATCTCCATTCTTTCTTAGCATAATATTTGATCGAATGATCGAATTAATCGTTTTTGATTCAAGGTAATGTCTTGAACTAGATTTTATTAACTTGTTATAAACTTATTAGGTAATGGAGACTCGAAGCCATGTATAAAAATAATCGGGCCTGATTAAGACTAAATTAGATAAACAAGTAATAAATTCATCGTCATTTATTTACCAGACGAATTCACACGAAACTTGGATTTTTGCCACTTCTGAGTGATATTTTTTTTACATTTATCGGCACAGAGTTACTGATAATATTTTGAGATTGAAAAGGATATCGCAACTTTAACGTGGAATGTACAAGTTAAAAACAAGGCATTAGTTTTTCACATCGTTATTGTTAGTGTAGTGTTATTTTATAAAAGTATACATTTTTATTGGAATGATGTTTAAATATGATATTTGTACCGCAAACATGTTCATTTCCAGTGATATAGATGAATGGTAAGGATACGCGTATAGGTGATACATTAGGTCAGGGTCGGACGCCTATTTGTCAATATTTGCAAATTCGGTACCATTTTTTATCGTGTTGACAAAATAGCAGAACACATTCACCGAAGACATTCACCGAAGACATATGTACTTATAAACGAGCACATTCAATGATAATGCAAAAAATATTACTGTATTAGAGTAAAATGCAGTAAGTTTTTTACTTGTCAGTATACCATACCTCTTATAATAAATATTTTATATTTTCTAGGAAGATTTTTTTACTACAGTACAATGCGAAAGTTTTTTCCTTTATCGTTATTCCTTATATTTTTTATAGAGACTGAATGAAAATTGAATTTTGAAACAAAAAACATTATTATTTGTTTTTTCTCTGACTATTTGATGGAACTGGAACTCGGTTGACAAACCTTATTGTTACGGATTCTCGGTACAATATTCATCTCGACTAGAAAATGGTATTCAAAATCGCCTTGTAGAGAGCTCTACAAATAATTATTGGGTTATATTTTGTGCTGGACGAAGGAACCAAATCTAGCAGAATTAAGACAAATACGATAGATCTATACTATCGATACTCTTTCAGTTGAACTGAAACACCTTTCAACTCCAAAATACTTAGATTTATAAAACCATAATGAATATATATTTGTGTGTTGCTCCAGTTTTCCCGTTTTCAAGAGTTATTGTTTTATTTAAAATAATTCACTACCTTCTTTAAGGAAGGAACAAACTAACGTCCTCATTTTCATACAGCTATCGTAAGAAGCTATTGAGAAATATTGCTTCAATTTAACAATAAGAGTTTTAGAAACTAAAATAATAGCATGTTTGCATGATTATCATATTCATATATTAGTCATATTTCCAGAAATCGTCCCCCTTAAAGTAAAGAACTCCACAATCAAAGAATTAGGGATAAACTGCTTGCCAATCCCAACGGGTCTAGAAGCTTCTGGTCGGTAACTAAAGCTGTTAATCATAATTTCACAAAATCCATAATTTCAGCACTAACACAAGCGGATGATTCAATTGCATCAACAGTCATAGAAAAAGCAAATCTACTAGTTGAACAATTTGCGTTCCACTCCACAGTCGATTTTCAGGGGAAAGGCACCACCCACTATTCTCACACTAGAATTCACAATGCCTGAAATTACTTTTCGACAGCGTCTTGTCAGGCGAATTTTAAAAGAGCTCAATATCAACAAGGCGTCCGGCCCTGATGAAGTGCCATCGTACTTAAAAAGTGCGCAAATTATCTTGCACCAGTATTTTGCAGACTTTTCAACCTATCATATAAGAAAGGGGGTTTTTCTTCTTGTTGGAAGATTGCTCGCGTTCANTAATTTTTTTTACTAATCTGATCCTTTATCCTTCACGGGCGGCCTTATATATGGGGCTCATATTTGGTGGAGGTACTTAACCGGGTACAAGATATCCCCCTGTATATTAATCTGCCGCGCTTTAGTAAATCCTGAAATCCCCGGTTGGGCTCCCCTATTACTGAGATAACGTTCCCTGCAAGTGACCGTCGCTGAATATCTCTCAAATACTTTCCCCATCATCACTGATGTTCCCCAGGGATCCATATTATCTTTTTTTTTATTGGACTTATTGGAAATAACCAAGAATACAATATATTGCTTTGCTGACGACAGCACACTTGTCTCATCATTCCATTTGGATTCCAGGACATTGGCTACGGAGGCATATCTTCACCGGCAGCAGGAGGTAGAATACCTTAATGAGGATCTAGAAGTGATTTAGAATTGGGGTGAAAGTAACCAGGTATAAGATACAGCAGAAATGACAAGCGGGGTGAGCCAGTGAATAAAGAGAAATAATTTCTTTTTTTTTATCTTTTAATGAAAATATTTTCAAATTGATATCGAATCATAATTTTCTAAAGTTGCATTTTGAAAGTAAACTTGTCTTGTGTTCCATTTATAAAATAATTGCGAAGCGTTATAATACAATTTATCACTGTGATAATACTATTATTCTTATATAACAAAGTAATCGCAAGACAGGAAATATTAGGTTGAACAAAACACAAAAAATTATCATTTTCAGAGCCGTGATTCTATCTTTTTCTTCAGTCGATACTTCATGAGAGTTAGTTTATTTGTTCTTTATATTAAATCGTGTTGAATTAAAAATGAAGAGAACCGTTTTATAATGATAATATTTGAGTTTTATTTTTCGTCTCAGTCAATGAAAAAAAATGAACACCTTCAGTTTTTTTGAAAATCTTAACAGAGATAAAAAAATGGCAGTCCTTGCCCAACCCTAGCAAGCAAAAACTCCTGTAGGCATTGTAATAAATTTGCGACAACATAGCCAGCTTCGAAATACCAGCTTCGAGTTTGAGAAAAAAATAGCACAACTGAACACTCACCTCCAAGTGTGCGGTTCATAGCCTTCCTTGCACTTGCTGCATTCTGTACAAGGCTGTCCGACGTCGGCTTCCTTGATTTGCACGCCCTGCAAATGACAAAAACAAAATATAAATTACGAAAACAACATACCACAGCTTGTTCAATAAGTGCTAAATATAAAACGTGACGAATACCGACCAGTCACACTAATTACTTGGACATGTAAGGAAATCAAATGAGTCAGTGTGAGAGTGTTTGTGAGACACTTTTTGATTGGACGTTGGTATGCAGAAACATTCATATATTCGTCATAATACACGGTACTTTTATGGAGGCGATGTTGGTTAAATATTTCTTAGATAATCTACAGGGATTTCATAAAAGCTGAAATGAAAATCATTTCTGCGACGATTTAGTTCAAACGATTACGAGGAGACAAGACAAGAATGAACACCACGTAGTGTTTACGTTATTAACCTGTTTGTAACATAAAAACTAATATTTTTGAATCGGTGAATTACTCAAGAATTCGAAACAATAATATATGCTGAACTAGAGATATTCTCTTGAAATAAAGGAATGCAGAAGAACAACCAGAATTTATATCGGCCATAGAATATTCCGATAACACCTTCGGTAAGGCCACTACGCACCGTCTTTAAAGAGCCTTTACGTGTACTGGCAATCTGGTTTGAATCTTTAACCTGCTTTTCATTTCGTTGTAGTTTGAATTAATAACAGAAATCATGAATTGGCTTCTGCCAATGACTACTCTGACTACTAATATCCCAAAGATATAATTTATTTCGCTTTTTATATCAGATAACAGTTTCAACATTTTTGTTTGCATTTTTCAATTTAGGCAATAACTTTTTTCACACTCCAAAAGGATAATGGAGTGCCACTATGCCATATAATATTTTGTCTGCCTTCCATCGCCTAATGGTTTTTCAGAATACTTTAAACTTTTATTATATACGAGCTTATGATGTTATCATAGTGTCATACAATAATGTGGATAATTTTTTAATGAGTGAAGATAATTAATGGGGTTGATGATGATTTTTTATACATAGGAGTGAATACAAAAATATAAAAAAATGTGTAAAAACAAAAAGAAATCAATCTTTTAAGTATGTGTATTTTCAAAATTTGATTTTCAAATATATATTTATACCAAATTCTGAAAATGTTTTCATACCTAGAATACCTTTCATCCTCTACGAAATTGAAAATAACTAATCGATATTTAACCATATTTAACCCATAATTCATCTATTTATTTAACCCATTTTAGCTCTAGAAATTTTCCGAAATACATCCAACCTATACTGAACTGAGTAACAAAAGATTGGTTTATCGATTCATCATATTTTTTGAATTAAGAATCAATATCCTAACGATATATAAGAATTTGTAGAAAGAGAAATTAATATTATCACAACGCTAACCCTGGCGAACAACAGAATGCGTCGGTTTATTGTATTTCCGGAATATACAAAGGTGAAAGAATATAGGCAGGATCGAACATATTAGATAGAGGAGTTCTGAAATAAGAATAAAATAGGTAAAAAAACGAGTGTGCTTTAGACCTTTTGCCTAATTTTGGATGGAAAATCGTCATTCTCAATGTTTCAAAACAGTCTCATATGTTGTTTCAACAGTTTCCAATTTTGGCTAGAGTGTCAAAAAAACAAATGAATTATTTATACCCCAAATGTCAGTTTGAAAGAAAATTCTTCAAAAACAGTAACAAAATGCCCATTGAACGTCTATTATGATCTTCATGCAGTCATTATTCAGTGTGGTTCTGGCGTTAAATCTGGTCATTATTACGCATTGGCCAAAGACGAAACGGAGTGGTTTAAGTTTGACGATGGTCGTGTCACGAAGTGTTCTGGCGAGGTATTGAATTTATTGGAGCCTCTGAAGACACCCTACATTGACATTGGACAGGCAGACAGGACATTGGCAGATCAAGATCTTCAGATGATGTGGTGCTGCAGGTTTCTCTGGGTTTTCCTGCAGCTGAAAAAGCAAATTCGCCAATGGAACCAAAGAAGTCACTCCGGGGCGCCAATTATTTTTTTTTTGGTGTTGTATAATCTCATGATTTGTATTGAAAATGAACTTAAACATTTACGAGAAGAAAATTAATATAAGGTTATTTGGTGATGGTGCTCGAAGTAGCAGACAAGGTGCTAGAGAATTCAACATAAGACATCCGCATCGAAACCGTATTTGACATGAATCGGCAGTGATTGCAAATGAAAATAGATCGTTCAGCCTGGGTCTTGAACCAGCGACCAACACGGCGCGGCGGTCGATTTGAGTGAGTGAACAAAGCACCCACGTCGAATCGACCGGCTACCGGCCATCCATGATACATTATAAAGAAAAGGATAACCCATGAACGGTTGAATGATTCATTTCTCACAACCCTAACGCTGTCCACATTTGGTAAATGGAAATATTAGAGGAGTAAGTGGCATCTACTGTTCGTTAGTGAGCAACTAAGTTCACATTGCTGACTTCGGACATCTTGAATAATGTATGGAACGCTTTCGAAAGTAGACTTTATTATTGTATGGAACTAGGTGGAGGTCGCTCCTGTTTTTTTTAAGCTTTCCTGGATTGTCATCGGAAAACGAATCCGCATGTTTCTAGAAATGATATAAAATCAAGAAAGGTTAATGTAGTCAAGCTGCTGTTGACTCTTGAAATCAAATTGGGAATGATCAGAATAGTAATCATCTTCTTTTTTTGAATTTCATGGATTTATTTTCCAGCAGGGGAATAGTTGATTTCTGATAGGTGTCAGTCTATTAACATGTCTTGTGTCAAGCTCATTTCGGTAATTATTAATTTGTAGTTCTGATTTATCTTGTAGAAAGTTTACCAAGAGTTGTCCATCTTTGGACCCAAAATTAACATTGAAATCTCATGCTGAAACGTATGATACTTTTCTTCTAATTGTTCAGAGCCTAATTGACCGTAAATACGTGCTCACATCTCTCTCTCTTGCCCCTACAGTAATATGCGAAACGTAACTCTCTATCTCTTACTCCCCAAGAAAAGCGCGCGTAATTTTTTCAAGTTAAGCAGTATTTCATTACAAGACTTTCTCTGAACAGTTTTCAAAACTGCAATACCTTTTTTACTATACAATAGGTTCTTGAGGCGTGTTCTGTTTGTAAACTGTTTAGTGGAAATCTCACATTGAAGTTCGAAAAAAAAAATTTATTGCCCAAACAGGTACAAAACTCTCACCAGTATTTTGCAGACTTTTCAACCTGTATTATAAAAAAGAGGTTTTTCCTTCTTGTTGGAAGATAGCTCGTGTTCAGCCTATTCCCAAAAACGGTAAAAAAAATCTTCCAAATAACTATAGAGCAGTCGCTTTGCTATCAGTTATATCAAAAATCATGGAGAAAGTCGTAAACCACCATAACCTCAAATATTTGGAAGGACTCAACATCTTGAGCGATCATCAATATGGCTTTCGGAAACAAAGATCAACAGCAAACTTTATATCGTATAATAATAATACTATTTCGCCATACAATATGTGTTGCGTTTTTGTAAAACAGTTTAGTGAAAATCTCACAATAAAGTCTTTTTTTATACGTTGTTATGGATTTTCAAGTAACGGTCAATTCCATCACATTTCGATATGATGAAACATCGATTTCTGCAGCCAAGCAGTCACTTTGCACTCCCAAAATCAGTCCTCCATATTTACTGAGTTTGTCTGTAGATTCCTGTCATGTTCGACTGTAGCCATGTTTCGGTGATGGTGATAAGGTGGTATTCAGAAGCTGCGACTGAGATAAAGAACTCCTGGGTTTTAATGTTCGGTCCACGAACATTTTATAATAACAAAGTAGGTCTAAAACGCTTATTTCACTTGAATGGTATGCTTATTTGCATATCGAATTGACTGAAGGAAGAATTTATTACGCAAGATGAGGGACTGCCAATGAGATCGCCACATTCACCAGTTATAGCCGATATATATAGAGAGTAGTTTGAAACTCAGGCCATTGAAGAAGCCCACAAGAAGCCTCGAGTCTGGTTGAGAAACGTAGACGACACCTTCATAGTATGGAACCATGGGAATGCAAAATTAGACACTTTCCTGAAGCATATCAACATCCTTCCATAACTTTCACAATGGAGAAGAAAGTCCACAACGAATTGTCTTTCTTAGACGTATTGGTGAAGAGGGCCGACACTAAATGGGAAACATCTGTATATCGACAACCCACTCACACAGGACAGTATCTGAACCAGAAATCCAACCACCATCAATCGACTAAGAGAGGAATCATCAATCTGTTTAAAACAAATCTGTTTTTCCGTTAACCAGCTGTCGCACCCCTACGAACACAACCCTCAGAAGTCGAAACTTGTGCGAGCTAAGGATTAACGAGGTCTTACCTTTTAACGTGTGATTCCTAACACGGGTTGGACGGTAGCAAGTGAAGATCGATCGTTCAGACTAGGGCTTGAACCACCGACCAACACGGCAGTCAATTCGAGTGAGTGAACAAATCACCCACGCCGAACCGCTTGGCTACCGACTGACCGAAGCCGCCACAACCAGTAATTGTACTTTCCTGCATCAAAACGCGGACTGCGATTCCAAGAATTGCATTTACCGGATACCCTGCGAGTGCGGAATATCCTATACCGGTGAAACTAAGAGGCCGTTGAAAGTTCGCATTGCTGAGCACAAGAAATACACAGAGCGAGGTTTAACCACCAAATCAGAAATAGCAGAGCATGATCAACATAACATCAAGTGGGCTCAAGCTGAAATCATCCACAAAGAGGAACACTGGTTTAGGAGAAAATTCAATGAAGCCGCATATATGTTGTCTAAAAACGCATTTAGAAGAGCTAGCGTAGAGATACGTAACATATGGGAACCTCTAATCAAGCGGAAAACGACCAACTCACGCCAAACGGTCATCTCCCGCAAAAACCAATGAAGCGGCGGGAAGGAAGAGGGGATAGGTGAAAGCACTCGAATGACCTATAAATAATCAAATCTCGGAGGAATAAGTCCAGTTATCACCCGAAGACGTGGATACTAACAATCGA